GATGCCACTGTCTCGGCTGCTCGCTGCACAATCTCTTTAACATACTCTTCATGGTTCCATTAAACTTTTCCGTCAGGCCATTACACATAGGGTGATAAGGAGTCGTAGTGAGCTGTTTAATGCTCAACAACCGTGTCACTTCCTTCATACACTCAGATACAAATTGCGTGCCGAGGTCACTCAAGATCTCTTCAGGCACTCCCAAACGACTAAAGATATCCACCAACGCTTCCGCCACGGTCTCCGTATCAATTTTCCTGAGCGGGACAGCTTCAGGATAACGGGTTGCAAAGTCGACCAATGTCAATATATATCTGTGACCGTCTTCACTCGGGGGACCAATAGGTCCAACCAGATCGATTGCTACTCTCTTGAACGGCTTGTCAATTAATGGCATCTTCTGCAGGGGAGCCTTCGGTACAGAACCCTTGTTAACCGTCTTCTGACATACATCACAGGACTTGCAGAAACGAGTCACGTCCCCTTGAATACCTGGCCAATAGAATGCGCTTTGAATCTTATCAGCCGTTTTCTTTATTCCCATGTGACCTCCCATGAGCGATCCGTGAGCTAGTTCCATTATCCGACTTCTCAGCTGCACAGGAACCATAACTTGCTTCAGGGGTTTACCACTATTCACGTAAGGGTGTTTGTAGACGCGGTACAAAACTCCACCTTTCACTTCAAATGAAATTTCAGCCTGGCCTCTCACAACTACATCATTTCGCTCCCAATATTTCTGTAAGCTCTTGTCATCATGTTGCATTTGTTTGAGCTTTCTCTATCAACTACAGGACTTTCTTTAGTACCCGGTACCTTCAACGGGACACGTTCTCCGGCCTTCTTTGCTTGACCTCTCGTGGTTACAGCACACGCCTCTTGCACATGATCTTGCCAGCTCGGATCTGGGTCGTCAGCAGCTCTCGCGCCTGGTACATTACCAACAATTAAATCATAAACAGCATCGGGAAGACACTGCGCTTCCACTTGGCCCTTGAGATAAGGTGTATCAACGTCGATCTTTGCAATGGGCACTTTCCTTGCTGTGTTGTCGATAAGCAGCATAACATTAAAGTCGCCAGTGAACTGATCCTCAGACACAAGATCCTTCTTTACTACTATTCCGCTACAGCCAGTGTCTCTCAGAACATCAACAGACTTCTCTCCAACTCTACCTTTCACTACAGGCATTTTACTTCTCACTCCAGACAAAGGTTCAACACAGGCGCTACTCAATAATGGAATCTTCTTACCGCAGGCTAACAGCAGCTTCTCATCTTTAATACAGGACTTAACTTCTTCCGCTGTGGGTTTACTCTCAGTCTGCTGAACTAGGCAACTGGCACTCACTTGACCACGTTGCACAGGGTTACCATCCCTACTTTGTCCTCCTGATCTCCGTCCACCTGATCGACAGTTTCTAGCTTCGTGTCCTTGCTTGCCACACAGAAAACACCTTTTTCCTATGGTTGGGCAGTTGGCAGCCCTATGACCACGAGCGTTACACTTAAAGCACTGGAGGGGTGTTGAATTAGACTGTGTATTCTTGGGTTCCTCCCTCTCTGGCGGTACTACCGGCTTTCTGCTCACTGGGCTGAACAAATGCTTACCATGGGCCTCCAAGTACTGGTCAGCGATCTTCGCAATCTGCACTAGGGTTTCAGGTGCCCTTTCTCGTAGGTGAATGGCCAAATCCTTAGGGCAGGAGTCAATAAACTGTTCTTTCACTATCAAGTCCTTTAGACCGTCCAAGGTCCGCTCAGTATCTGAAAGCTCTAGCCACCGTAACAGGTATCTGTCCAGTCGCACGATAAACTGGTCCGGACTTTCGTCAACTTCCGGTTTAGACGCTCTAAATTTACGACGATAGCCGTCTTCTGTGAGATCATATCTCTTCATCAACGCAATCTTGACTTTACCGTAATCTCTAGCTGCTTCTTCAGATAGGCGTGAGTACACTTCGAGTGCTCGTCCAGACAACAGAGCACTGAGCTTTGATGCCCATCCAGTTCTATGCCACTTGGCTGTATCTGCAAATCTCTCGAACCTCTGCAAATATGCGTCCAAATCATCTTTACCATCCACGAACGCTGGAAGTTTTGGCGCTTTAGCTCTATCATCTCTTTCTGCGGTGCGACCATCACCATTCGTTGCTGCTAACCTAGCAAGTTCTAACTCATGTTCTCTCTTAGCAGCCTCAGCAGCCTCCTTCTGTCTCATGAGGTCGGCTTCATGTTGTAATTTCCTAATTTCTCTTTCCTGACGTCTCGCTTCCCTTTCTTCATCCTGACGTCTGCGTCTCTCTTCCCTCTCTTCTTCCTCACGTCTTTGCCTTTCTGCTCTCTCTTCTTCCTCACGTCTTTGCCTTTCTGCTCTCTCTTCGTCCTCACGTCTTTGTTTTTCTTCCTTCTCTTCTTCCAACTGCTGTTGTTCACGCACAAATTCAAGTAGCTTTTCTCCTTCCAGTCCAAACTCCTTACCAAGTTGCATAAGTTTCTCCATTTCACAGCGTTAAAATTCCAAGGGTCTTTCACTTGCTACCACTTGTTTTCACCGCACAGTTACTTCCTTCCAAATTGTGATCCTTTCCTGGTTATCGGTAGACAACAAACAGTTCCTTGAATTCCACTCTCCAGCGACAGGCCCCCAATGTTACGAGTTCGTTTTGTGAGTGGCGGATAGTTCGTAGTCTAAACAGAACGCAGGGTTGTCGGAACAGCAACAAGGTTATTTATTCCAAACGACCGTAGTAAATTCCACACGAAACTTCACAACAAGCACACGCTAGGCTTGTAAATTACAGTTCGACCTCCGTCACACTTGATTAAACACGGCCTCTGCCAAATATACACGCGACCTCTATCACACTTCAATAAACACGGCCTCTGCCAAACTTTACACGTGACCTTTGTCACACAACAGTAAGCACGTACTCTCTTCTCAAAGAAAACCTTTTCAAAAGCTAAACCGATTTGCTTATATACTTATGAGCGTAATACTCTAGAACTTTCCGGCTCAACTAAACAAGGTAACATTACATCATAAAACTATTTACAACATCATACGTAAACGGCTTGAAAAACTGCTTAGTCACTATGATGCAAAACTAATTAAATATGCAAGAATATTCTAGACTAAGTTAGCATACAGTCACGCAACAATTTTTCGTAACACACATTTGCATTTAAAAAGAAGTGTATGAAGTCCCTGCATACCTAAAGACACCTGTAAGGAGCTCATTCATTTCAGAGCCCTCGAACCGGAGTGTTAATGGTAGGTCTATACGATCTTTCAAAAAAGGTTGTTGCTTGCGTTACAATTTACAAACAAACTAACTTCAGAAGAGTTTAAAGTTACGGGGACAAGGCCTCTTTTAGCCAACCAATGATGCATCACTTATGAAAATGAATGTAATTTGTTTGATGCAATTAGGCGAATACCCCGTGGTTACGAAATCTTACAATCATGAATTCCTCAAGAGCAATTCAGTTACCAACTTTTCACAAAATAATGGTGTGGAAAATTATAGAAAATACCAAAAAAAGCAAGGGTGCGAATTCGATGTATCATGAATCCGACCCCGACTAGCCTGGGTTACCTCACCTTGAAACGTTGACATGGCAAAATTTGACCTCAGCTGAGAAGGGTGCCCAATGTGGCAGACCGGGCTACCCACCTTGAAGAATCACCCCACCTATCATGTAAACGTGATCAAGTTAAAATGAGAGATTATCTGGACAGGCGTGTTACCCCACCTAAGTGGGTTACCATGCCTACCTGGGAGACTGAAAGGCATCCAGGCCTTTGTTAAGCTGAAAAATTAATTACCTCCTTAGGAAAGAACTATTTTGGGTTCTGTCATTTCGTTATTTGCTCTTCATGAACAGCTGTCATAAATCCCTGATAATATGTGATACAACAGACTCTTTGACAATTTCTTTTTTCTCAAATTTTGTGTGTGAATTGCTATGCCATATTATGCTTTCTTTAGCTTAAAGTGATATGTAATGACAAGTAACACTTGATAAATAAGGCTTAAGCCACACAATAAGGCCTTCTCTAATTGAATTACATTAGAAAAGGAAAAGAGAACCCCAGAAGCTGAGTACTTGCAAGTTATGAAGCAAAGACGAGGCCATCTCAGAAGTGACTTACGACAATGTGGGCGGACTGTGGACTTGCTTTAAGGGCACAGTAATAATCAACTTAATTATACAATCAATAAGCTAATAATGAATGGGAATGCCAGATGTTCAAGTGAAATTGTTGTTTACAACATGAGAAGAGCATTCTGAGTGATTTAAGGTATTAAATAACAATTTTCAATCAAAACAGCACAGGGACCCCAACAGGTGAAATTTACAATAATTAAATCCTGTTTAGCACGCTTCAGTGGCATATTTGCAGTGGGCACCCCCCTCTAATATTCATGGTACTGCAATAAGCTATCGCTGTGCAAAGTTTGGTGCTTTTGTCAACTCTGTAACGATCCTGACCTTAAGAGACCTGACTAGTCTCCAAGGATGATCTCCAAGCGGCCATGTTTATTTTATAATCACCAATGAAATACCAAACCATTTCGCCTAAATATTTTTTAAGTCCTAGAGAAGACGAATGTGTCAGAACTAATTTTTTACACTTTTTACATTTCTTAAAATAGCTTTTGCAACACTATATGAACTTATGGTCATGCAAATAAAGCTCGTTGTTGCTGTAAAAGCTTGTGGCTGAAATAGTTTTATTTTCCAGAATTTTTAACAGTAGATTACAAACTACTCTGTAAAACTATTTATTTAGATATTCTGCATTTGGGGATTCAAGAAGTATAGAATAGGCCAAAGAAATGATGGTCCAACACTTATAATCCTGACCTACCTCAGTAAATCTTACATGAAAGCTTGATTATCTTGCCTAAGAAGTTTAACTGTTCAGTTAAAAAGACGTTAAGAATCTTGTTTCCACTTTCTTACTCTTTTTCTCAAGGTTGAGGAAAAAGCGTCATGGACAACATCTCGGAGATTCTACAGACCATTCATATTGGTGCAGTTGTTGCAACTTTCCTTTTCAACACTGGACGTATTATAAGAGCAGTAGACATCTTTAACGAATGTTTGGTGCTCCTTAACGGTAAAGCCCTAGAGACAATCAAAGAACTTACCACACCACTTCTTATCTATGTATACCGTAAGCTTCTTGATGGCTTTACTCTTGTGTACGATCACACCCGTGCGACAGAATGTAATAAAAGGCTTTTAGCGACACTACACAATAGTACAAGTGGCCAAAAAGAAGTAGAAGGGATGACATTACTTAAACTAGCGAACATCTACTATCAAACAAGCAAATACGAGGAAGCAAAACAGTTTTACAAGAGAGCACTCAGCATCATGATTGAGGCTGGAGATAATGACGGAGTTGAAACATGTTACGGGAATCTAGGAACTGTGTTTCTTTCTGTTGGTCAATATGCCAAGGCTAAAGAATACCTTCAAAAAGCACTAGTGATCAAGAAAGAAATCGGTGACAAACAAGGAGAAGCATCTGCTTACGGAAATCTAGGAACTGTGTTTCAATCTGTTGGTCAATATACCAAGGCTGAAGAATACCTTCAAAAAGCACTGGTGATCAGGAAAGAAATCGGTGACAAACAAGGAGAAGCATCAGATTACGGAAATCTAGGAACTGTGTTTAAATCTGTTGGTCAATATACCAAGGCTGAAGAATACCTTCAAAAAGCACTAGTGATCAGGAAAGAAGTCGGTGACAAACATGGAGAAGCATCAGATTACGGAAATCTAGGAACTGTGTTCAAATCTGTTGGTCAATATACCAAGGCTGAAGAATACCTTCAAAAAGCACTAGTGATCAGGAAAGAACTCGGTGACAAAAAAGGAGAAGCATCTGCTTACGGAAATCTAGGAACTGTGTTTCAATCTGTTGGTCAATATAGCAAGGCTGAAGAATACCTTCATAAAGCACTAGTGATCAGGAAAGAAATCGGTGACAAACAAGGAGAAGCATCTGCTTACGGAAATCTAGGAACTGTGTTTCGATCTGTTGGTCAATATACCAAGGCTGAAGAATACCTTCAAAAAGTACTAGTGATCAGGAAAGAAATCGGTGACAAACAAGGAGAAGCATCTGCTCACGGAAATCTAGGAACTGTGTTTCAATCTGTTGGTCAATATACCAAGGCTGAAGAATACCTTCAAAAAGCACTAGTGATAAAGAAAGAAATCGGTGACAAAAAAGGAGAAGCATCTGCGTACGGAAATCTAGGAACTGTGTTTCAATCTGTTGGTCAATATACCAAGGCTGAAGAATACCTTCAAAAAGCACTAGTGATCCAGAATGAAATCGGTGACAAACAAGGAGAAGCATCTGCGTACGGAAATCTAGGAAGTGTCTTTCAATCTGTTGGTCAATATACCTAGGCTGAAGAATACTTTCAAAAAGCACTAGTGATCAGGAAAGAAATCGGTGACAAACGAGGAGAAGCATCTGCTTACGGAAATCTAGGAACTGTGTTTCTTTCTGTTGGTCATTATACCAAGGCTAAAGAATACCTTCAAAAAGTACTAGTGATCAGGAAAGAAATCGGTGACAAACAAGGAGAAGCAGCAGATTACGGAAATCTAGGAACTGTGTTTCAATCTGTTGGTCAATATACCAAGGCTGAAGAATACCTTCAAAAAGCACTAGTGATCAGGAAAGAAATCGGTGACAAACAAAGAGAAGCATCTGCTTACGGAAATCTAGGAACTGTGTTTAAATCTGTTGGTCAATATACCAAGGCTGAAGAATACCTTCAAAAAGCACTAGTGATCAGGAAAGAAATCGGTGACAAAAAAGGAGAAGCATCTCCGTACGGAAATCTAGGAACTGTGTTTCAATCTGTTGGTCAATATACCAAGGCTGAAGAATACCTTCAAAAAGCACTAGTGATAAAGAAAGAAATCGGTGACAAAAAAGGAGAAGCATCTGCGTACGGAAATCTAGGAACTGTGTTTCTTTCTGTTGGTCAATATACCAAGGCTAAAGAATACCTTCAAAAAGCACTAGTGATCAACAAAGAAATCGGTGACAAAGAAGGAGAAGCATCTGCTTACGGAAATCTAGGAACTGTGTTTCGATCTGTTGGTCAATATACCAAGGCTGAAGAATACCTTCAAAAAGCACTAGTGATCAGGAAAGAAATCGGTGACAAACAAGGAGAAGCAGCAGATTACGGAAATCTAGGAACTGTGTTTCTTTCTGTTGGTCAATATACCAAGGCTGAAGAATACCTTCAAAAAGCACTAGTGATCAGGAAAGAAATCGGTGACAAAGAAGGAGAAGCATCTGCTTACGGAAATCTAGGAACTGTGTTTCGATGTGTTGTTCAATATACCAAGGCTGAAGAATACCTTCAAAAAGCACTAGTGATCAAGAAAGAAATCGGTGACAAAGCTGGTGTTGGAGCTTCATACTTAAATCTGGGAAAACTTTGTCGAGAATTTCAACTTACTGCAAAGAGTCAAGAATTTGCCAATAAAGCACTTGAGATAAGTTACGAAATAGGGGACATTGAAATGCAGTTTGAAAGCCACCTTTCCATTGCTCTGAACGAGTTAGTGGCAGGAGGAAGCATGACTGAACTTCTTCGAAATCTGCATGAAAGCATTCAGAAGTGCGAAGAAATGCATCATTTTTTAAGAGTGAAAGATCAATTCAAAATTTCTTTTTTTGATGAACATGTGTCCCCTTACCTCTTTCTTTGTAGGTTGTTAATTGCTACAGGCAGTTATTATGAAGCTCTTTACGTTGCCGAGCTTGGACGATCCAGAGCACTAACAGACGTACTTTCAGATAAGTACTCTGTGGAAAAAGGGGTATCAGTCGACCCACAGTCATGGATTGGTATTGAGAACATTATGAACAAAAATGCACTTAGTTCTTGTCTTTATGTTTCCTGCTTCGATGATAATATGTACTTTTGGATCCTCAAGCCAAACGAAATTATAGTTTTTCGACAAACGAGACTCAAAGAAAGTGCAGATAAAGTGTTTCTAAATCAGACATTTGGTGGCTCTCTTGATTTACGTCAAGACCAATGCGAAGATCGATCATTATTTTCATGTGTAAGTTCCCCGCTATCATGCAAACAATCTCAGAGTGACAGCTGCGAATCTTTTCGTCTTATCGAAGAAGACGAAGACGAAAATCAAGACTCTAAACCTTTAACCCTTGCTGATGGTTACAACATGATAGTCGCTCCTGTAGCTGACTTACTCCAAGAATCAGAAATCATTATTATACCGGATAACTTGTTGTATCCTATTCCTTTTGCTGCTTTAAAGGATGGTAATGGATATTATTTATCGGATACTTTCAGGATTCGCATTGTCCCTTCCTTGACGACTCTTAAGTTGATTCAGCTTAGTCCAGCAGACTACCATAGTAAAACCGGTGCATTGATCGTAGGGGAGCCAGAAGTTAGTGATGTATACTATCGAGGAAAAATTCTACAGTTAAACTCACTGCCTTGGGCGAGAAAGGAAGCAGAGATGATTGGGCGACTGCTCGGTGTTCAACCGTTGCTTGGAAAGGATGCAACTAAGCAGGCAGTCCTGGAAAGCATGCATTCAAGTCTCATTCACTTCGCTGCTCATGGTTATGCCGAACGTGGAGAAATAGCTCTTTCCCCTATAAGCTCCCGCGGAACTCCACACGAAGAAGACTACTTATTAACGATGGCTGAAATTTCACAAGTTCGACTAACAGCCAAGCTGGTTGTCCTTAGCTGCTGTCATAGTGCAAGTGGTCAGATTAGAGCTGAGGGAGTTGTTGGAATCGCTCGAGCATTTCTAGCATCGGGTGCACGCGCCGTGCTGGCAGCACTGTGGGCTGTAGAGGACGAAGCTACCATGTGGTTTATGAATCGTTTTTACGAGCACCTTGTTCGTGGTGAAAGTGCCAGTGAATCTCTTCATCAGGCCAGGAAGTCGATGAGAGAGACTGGCTTTTCTGACATCATGCAGTGGGCACCCTTTATGCTGATTGGAGATAATGTGACATTGAAAGGTTTGTATTTGATATCATTTTCAGGTTTTTTAGTTATCTTAGTCAAAATTTGTGAAATTGATGTTCGTGACACTACACATCATTTTGAAAAATATTATTAAGGGAGTTATACTGAGTGTTCTTAGTTTTTTTTTATTTATTGTCTTTTCCAACCCTGTTCATGGAAGTGAGGCAACTGGAGAGAATGCCGAATTTAATTATTTTCCGATTTTTAAGGAATATTTCGTAAAGCATACTCGAATCTCTAATTAACTAACATGAAAATATAAAAGAACGATATTGTGAGATTACAAAGAGCATACGAAAACAATTTATTAATATACCACACAATTCCAAATATAAGCCCTGGGGCTTATATTTTACGAAGGTCCTTTTTGAAGGGCTTATTTTTGGAGGGGCTTATATTCGGAGGGGCTTATCTACGGAGGGAAATTTGCGTTTCAAAATCGATTGGGTTAGCCTTATAGTTGGAAGTAAATTACTTTTTTGTTTTGTTTTACTTTGTATTTGAGGGCAATTTTCCAAAGACAAGCCCCGGGATGGAAGGGGGGGGCTTATATTTGGAAGGGCGATTTAACGGAGGGTTTTTTTGCGTTACCGGTTTGGGGGGCTTATTTTTGGACGGGCGTATACATGGAGGGGCTTATTTTCGGAATTTTACGGTATCACAGAGAAGAGAAGTAAGTGTTAAACACACTTTTTCCTGAGGGTGTACATGATAAAAGAAAAAATGTAGCCTGTTCCAGGCTACATTTCAGGCTCCGCACGCCTTTCACCGCTTCATCCCTACTATCTGAGAGCCTGGAACAGGCTAAAAAAAACGCTGTTAGTATTTTTAGTCTTAAAAAGATTCATCCTCCGGGAGCCAGAGATAGCGCAGAGGGTATACGTATTAATTACCGGTGGGCGAGAGTTTGAAACCAGACGGGAAGATTACCTGGGCACTTAATCTAACCCAAGCAGCTGCAGGAGCATTTGATTTTGCAACTTCTATTTTATACAGGTATTTTTCTGGCAAATGAACTAAGGGCAACTCCCTTGTAGATTTCGTGTGTTCTTAAAAGGAGGTTTTTTGTCATCAATCGCCTCTTTTATGATGCTTGTTCCGCGGAGAAGTCGAAAGATTTAATATGTCCCCAAGAAAGTATTTCATTTGATTCGATTGGGTTTTACAATACGTTTTGCTTTAGTTCTCTTCGTAGTCGCGATTTTGTACCAGAGGAGATGACTGATATTCTGGGCAACCATTGCACAGGCTGCTTGGGCTGCTTGGGCGGCAATGGATAGCATGGTTGGCTTGATATCAATCTCCTGCTTCAAGCTATAATCTGATCAGTATAAAAACAGCAAACAAATCGAAGGAATTTGAAATAAAGTAAAATATTCTCACTGCATACATAATTGGTCCTTGACGCGGGAATTAAGTAACTCTTAAATTCCGTGGTGTTGGGCCTGCGCACTCGTGGCACGATGCATTGCGGCCCTTCGTTAGAATTGCTAAGTTTTTGCCTGCCTCTTGGCTAGTTCAACGGGGTTCAGTGGAAGTGACTTAGAAGTTTCGCCCCATCCCACCACCCCTGGTGGCGGCTGACCTCGCTTATTCTCATTATTCGGCATGTCTATTCTATTGTCCTAGCAGTCGCGGTTGCCTCCCACAACTTAGTTATCCGTGTCGGAACAATAGGTATGCGTTGCGAATATTATACGAATCTCATTTAAGCTGAAAGTGATGCAATATGACTTTACTGAATTTTTAGCATATAAATGAATCCTCAAAATGTAAAGGTTTTGTTATTTGTTTTGATTTTGAAAAAATCTGTGCCAGATATTTAGGTAAAACATTTAGCGCAACGAGCAACAGAAGCATGTTGATCGATGGCTAAAATAATACAAAGAATACCTACAAGAGGGAACCGTCATGATTATTTTTTTTATTTGCATCGCAGGTGCATTTGATAAGAGCAGCTTGGAAGATGGCGAAGGTGCAACAGAAACAAAGAACTTGTAAACGGAGACGAAACATGTTCAAGTTGACAACTACTGTCACAGCTGTACATAAATGTATATACCTAGGATCTCAATGAAGTAGTCTTCTCTGAGACCGCAAAGTGAACAAGTGATAATTGTACTTTTTAAAGCAGGCGCCGTTTTGATACGTTACGGGGAAAGGTGAAGCATGAGCTGAGCGTGGAGCACAAGGAGAAGGGATAGCCAGGACCAGTTAGTCGTCCTCATAGTGGAGACGTCAAAGTTCTTATAAACTTTGTTAATGTACTGATCTTGAAGAACGTGATGAAATGCCAAATGGATATCTAAGCTATAATATGATTTTACTCAGTTAGTTATGTCATATCATCAATGGTCAAAGGCCTTGGATGTTGTGGGTAGACGTTGTTTTCCTAGACTTTGCAAAGGCTTTTGAGAGAGTGGCACATTATATCCTGCTGCAAAAATTGTGTAATTTGGTATCTCCGGTGCGCTTTAAATTGGGGTGTAAGGATTATCTCACCGACCGAGAACAGAGAGTTGTCATAGAAGGAATAAATTCTACATGGTGTGCTATACTATCGGGCGTACCTTAGGGCTCCTTATTGGCCCCTTTGTTCTTTGTCATTTTAATTAGTTATTTGCCTGAAGTAGATAATGCCCGGAAACTGTGTGTCATTATATGCTGACGATTGCAAAAAACTGTCCAGCTGATCATTCCGTATTTCAGTCAGATCTCGACAATTTATATGCATGGAGTCAACAAAACCTCATGGCGTTTAAAGTGACGAAATGTAAACTAATGCACATCACTAAAAGGAAAACACCTATTCACTCTGACTTACACTTAAATAATAGGGACCTTAAGCAAAGACGGCGACGACGGCAGTGAAAACGTCGCTAAAACAATGAATTTGTTTCCTTTCAAACCTGCGACTAGGCTGCTTTCAAACTTAATCGCGTCAAAATGTAGGCGACTTTTCCTGGAGTTGAATTCTCAAGGATTTTATTCAAGTTCAAAAAGAGGAGGAAAATTCGTCGTCGTATGTCCACCTGCTCCATAAAACGTCAAATTAGGAGGTTTCTCGTCGTAGTCGTGCAGTGGACGTCAAAGAAATGTACTAAAAAGCGTGATGCACTTGCAGAGCTGTTGTTTTGATCATTAAACCTGTCGTCGTCGTAGTAGTAGTAGTTGCTCAAGCTCCCTTATAATATCCTAAAGCTAACATCTGAGTTCCGTGATCTTGGCTTGGTTACCAATTGCAATCTGTCTTGGAGCACTCATATTGCTAAAATATAGAATATGGCCAACAAGATCCTAGGTCTAAGAGACCTGTAAAGGATTTCAAGATGTTTCCACATTGAGAACTCTGTATCTTGCCCTGGTCACATCGCAGCTAGAGTATTGCAGTGTCGTGTGGTCACCACACTCCAGCTGACACACATCTAGAAATATTTCTAAGTTGGAGCGATTTCAGTGAGGGGCAACTAACTTTATTTTGAAGACCATGATGATTAAGAACAACGGAGAAAAATGCTCAATTTGTTGTCCTTAGAACAAAGGCGATTTTTATTTGACGTATTATTCCTGTATAAAGCCCTGAATGGCTATATAAATATTGACCTATCTACATATGTACAGTTTTTTCTCAGATTCTGATCGGTATCCTTTAAGGGGAAAAGATGAATGTACTCTTAAAAAGAATTATGCTAGTAGTAATACCTTTAAGTTTCGTTTTTTCAGTAGGATCGTGGACATGTGGAACACCATTGCTTGTTCGTCAGGCAACAACTATTGCTAGTTTTAAGAAAGAAGTGAGGGAGTTTTAAGCTGGAAATGTGTGAGGTTTTTATTATTACTATTATTTTATTGATTTTTTTGTTCATATCTCCATATACATTTTCACATTTTTAATTATCTGTCTTATTAAATCTTAGTTTTTATGATATGAATATTTTTTAGAAGGTGGTCTGTCTTACTTAGGGTCTTTGACTCTTTTACAGACCGCCCTTATGGCAATCCCTTTGTATTTATCACTTACGTGAAACCTTTTGCCATTAAATTGTAATAAATAACGAAAGTGTTCTCTAGAATTAAATGCTTTTTGCCAGGGGCACCCAACGACGGTTTCCTCCTAAATACATTGAAAACACTTTTTAGGCTATCCAGAGTGCTTTTTTAGTAGATCTCTAGAAATACATTCTATATCTATTCAGTCATCCTAGGGGTGCTTGAGTCTTATCGACATTACAAGGGCTTCTGTATTATTGTCCCCAAAATTTTAGATGCAATTTAATGTATTACGAAAGTGAAAATTTTTCTGATTCCTCTCTCCATCACATTTTTGAATCCGAAAATAGTTTTAGGTTTCCTTTTTTCTACGAAAAATAGCCTAACCTAGGGAGTGAAATGTGAAAAATTAAGCTTACTTTAGAAAATCGTAGGAAATTTATTTCCGAAAATTGTACATGAATGGAACGGTCATCTAGAAATTTTTAACTGTCCTCAAATAAAAGAAAATTCTAGGCAATATTTGCTTTCCGAACAGATATTTTACAGAAAGCCGTCGTTAGGTGCCCCTGCTTTGCGTCAATACGATAATTACGGTATTGTTTTTAAGCTTTTTTTGATTTGTCTAAGATCAATCATCACCACAATGTTTCACTGATTACTGTTTTAGAGTAGTGACAGTGTTTAGTGGAAAGTTCTAAAACAATTCAGCATGATGGCGAGTCTTAGAGGACACAAACAAAGAAAATGAATAAAAATGTTTGTGTCCTCTAAGACTCGCAGCTGTCGTGCTGAATTTTTATATATCGAAAGACGCCCATTAGTGACTGATAAGACTTAACAACTCAGGCGATGGACGAAATTGTATTCTCCCGTCTTGAATTGTGCGTTTTTCAATCTTCTGCTCTGCCCTGTTTTACCTGTTATGGGTGATCCTTTTTTTTTTTCAAACTGACAGCAATGAATGGGTGGGTGCTCACTAGAATTTAGAAGTTGGGC